AATGATTTGCATGACATTTGGATGGGAACCCAGCTACTAAGATCAAAATTCTTAGTTTCAAAGTATTACTCCTGTGGCAGTAGTAAATAGTAAAAATGTTAAGTTAAAGATGTTGTTCTATGACATTGAATTTTACTTAAGATCTGTTCAATGAACCACCACAAACTGAATATTTTGCCTGTAGGTCTCCTGTAAGTGACTCCAATAGCAGAAAAGAGGACCAAACTCATAGCAGTGAAGAGGAGGAGAACCGGAGGTCTGAAAAGAAGAAAAAGTACCAACAACCCACTCATGTTAACTCTGAGAAAACCATGGCAAACGAATGTGCTCAGCAGTAGTTTGGCTAATGCAAAATGGGAATCATTTGTCATAGTAAAAAAAAAAGAAAAAAGAATCTAGTAAGGATTTTGTACATCATTGATTGATTTGTGACTTGTTTTTTTTTTTTTCAGATTTATTAATACTTGTTTACTATTTTAGACAGTGTGAATTATAATAATAAAAAAGAATCAATGGTCTTAATTGCATTATTTTTCTTATTGTATGCTTTAGTGGACTTCCTGTGTACCATTTCTATGTTCTATAATGGTTTATAAACATGTAGATTAGATGTTTACACTTAGAACTAGATGGTGAAGGTCATCAGTTTTTGTTTTTCTCTTTAAGACAATTGATGAACAGTAATAAGCCATTGTGTTATTGAATAACGAGATCAGTTACTTGGTGTTTGACGTTCTCTGATCATAAGTTCTGCTACAGTTATTTTGTGCAAAATGATTTATCATTACTTTATCCTTATTTCTCAATTAATTTTTTTGCTTGATTTCTTTAAAGAAAAATATGATCATAATTCTTAAGAAATGTATTGTAATTATGTTCAATGAGTTTGGGAGGGGAGATCTCGACAATGAAGACAAATCTAGACAAATTATTGAGTAATTTGTTTTTGTGAATAGAAAAAGTACAATCCAACACAAAGAAGTTAACAAGATCAATAGCTTAGTCACTCCTATAAAAAATAAATATATGAAGAGTTCAGATGCAAAAGCCTCTAAATGCCATTTGAAATTTTCTTCTTTAATGATGATTTTCATCAAACTTGTATATTTAAGTTCAGTAATTTCACTTAAATAACAATTAATAGGTAATTATCATTGCCGTTTAAGTGAAATTACTGAACTTAAATATACAAGCTTGATAAAAATGATCATTCTAGAAGAAAATTTCAAATGGCACTTAGAGGCTTTTGCATCTGAACTCTTCATATCTTTCAACGAAATGTTTAAATCACATTTTACAACGTCATGAAAGCGTACATCTTGTAGCCAATCACCGCGACCAAAAAGAATGACGTTCTCTGAAACGCACACTTGCTTTTATCTGATTGGTTCACGCACACCGTTCAGGTCGCCTGCGGAAATGCACATGGTTTCTAGTTGTTTCTTGCTGTACGATACAACCGCTTAACTCAGCACGTTAACATATTAATTCAATATATTTACATGTTTTACGGTAGAATTAGCAAATAGAATGAGTTAATTTAGTATTAGTTTGGGAATGGATTTTAGGTTCGGCTGGTCTCCTGGTAATAGATGACGTATGATTGTTTATCAGGTTAATTTTGTATTTTAACTGCACACATTGCGGTTTTTTTTTCGTCTAAGACAATGGCCAAACTTAAAATGCAAAACAAGTGGAGTATCAAACTTGGAGTGGCAATCACTTATTGGATCGTCAGTCTTCATCTCATATCTGCCCACAATGTGAAGGTGAGTAGCCTACTGCTGTTTCATATCTCAGTATTTATTTTTATTCTAATACGTTAACAACAGTATACTTTTTTGGCTCTGCAGTCTCCAACAGCCCTGTCTATCAAAGAAGGTTCAGGTGATAATAGCAAGGGAGAAGAAACACAGTTGAGGAATGATGATCCTGAAGATCTGGAGGTGTTTAGACCTACAGACAAATGGCAAACTCTCAAACCAGGTGGCTATATTCCCATGCTGACATTTGTGTTTGTAAATAAATAAATTATTAACAGACCAATTCCATATATATGTTATTCAATTTAGGTCATGCAGTACCAGCAGGCTCTCATGTCAGACTGAATCTTCAGACTGGCCACAGAGAGGTCAAGATGGGAGAAGAGGAAGGTCTCAAACACTGGAGTGATGGAAATGGGTATAGTAATAGAAGGAAAACATATTCTACAATAAATACTGTATCATATAGTTATATTTTTCCTCTCTGTGGTGCAGGCAAGGCCCTTCATTCACAGCTGAGGAGTTGAAAGAGGCTCTGAAAAAAATTAAAGAAGGAATGGATGATCCTGTAGACGCAAAACAAGTATGTTCATTTCAGTTGTTCTCTAACCTTTTTTCTGCATTGCTTATTGAGTTTTTTTTTTTAATCAAGATGTTCAAACATAGGAGGAAGATGCGGTGAAGGCCCAATTTCGCCCCATCGAAGAGCTGAAAAAAGACATGGAGGCACTCGACATGCTTGTAGAGACAGATGTTCAAGTTATGAGGAAACTTTTAAACCAATTCAATAATACTAACAGCACAACTGACGAAAAACTAACAGCTCTTCTTGACCTGGAATACCTTGTGCACCAGGTAATGCTTTAATTGCAGTTATGAAAGTTTGCGTCCATGTTTTTTCAAAGTCTTTAAAACTCATTGTTTTTTTCATTTAGGTAGATAATGCCCAAAATTTGGTGTCCATGGGAGGAATGCAATTGGTTATAAATGCTTTAAACGGTACAGATGTTAGACTTCAGGAGAGTGCTGCGTTTGTGCTCGGATCTGCTGTTTCAAGGTAATTGTCATTCTCTCTAGCAAAATTGCTGCCTACACATGATTTAATGTACAGTCACATTTAACTTTTTATCAGTGAACTTTCGTGGTTGAAATCCAGTCATTTTAATAGGAATCCACGCATGCAATTTTCCATAAGGGCGAAATATTTCCCCACGCAGATTTCGAAGCAGGTTCAATTTGGTTACCTTGATCAACAGAAAGCTGCTTGGTTTAAAAGTGACTTCTGTGTGAGCTGTGCTACTCATTTTACAATAGACAGAGGAATGTTTTTACCCACATAATGTTATGTAACGTGACCCTACCTTTACACCGATGCAATCCATCATCGTGTACCTTTTTCTAGTAATCCATCAGTGCAGGTTGAGGCAGCTGAAGGCGGTGCGTTACAGAAACTGCTGACATTGCTTGCCACTCAGCGACCAATGGCCGTCAAGAAAAAGGTAAAACCAACATGAAAGCATGGGTATTATGCTGTTTAATAGTGAGTTAGAGTAGCGAATTAAATTGTCTTCATCATACTAATTCATCACATTTACGGTTGACATTCTGATTTAATACAGGTGTTATTTGCTGTGGCCTCATTACTGCGTCACTTCCCGTTTGCTCAAAGTCACTTTCTGAAGCTTGGGGGTGTGCAGATGCTTAGCGAACTCTTTCAAACTCCAGGGGCCGAGACCCTCCGTGTGAGAATCATCACGGTTCTCTACGATATGATCATTGAGAAGGTTCATATGTTTACAAGTTTAAACTTTGCTACACTAGTACCATGCAAAATTTGGGGTCAAAATTTCATCAAAAAATCTTGAAACAAATATATCATGGTATTCACAAAAATATTTAGCAGCTGTCAACTGTTTTCAGCATTGATAATAATGAGAAATGTTGCTCCAGCACCAAATCCAATCCAATCATGTCACACTGAAGACTGAAAAATCTGCGTTGCCGTCACAATAAATTACATTTTAAATGAAGTTATTCAAAATCATAATAATATTTCTCAATATTACTGTTTACTGTATTTTTGATCAAATAAATGCAGCCTTGGTGACAAAAACATTAACAACTATTACCAGCCCCAAACCTTTGAATGGTAGTTATTTAGAAAATATTTACATTGCGAACTGAAAATGTAATTTCCATATGTATCAAGCTTATTCTTAGAATTTACTGATACTTTGTTTTGTAGGAGCTGATATCACAGGTGGGAATGGACCTTATCCCAGATTCCTCTCACCAGGAACGTTTGCGTCAATATGCTGAAGTCTCCCTCCTGCCCGTGTTGGTGGAGCAGGGGTGGTGCAGGCTGGTGCCTGAGCTTTTAGCGTCACCTGAGCACGACTGGAGAGAGAAGACTCTGCGCACTCTGCTTGCCATGATGGCTCAATGTCACACTCAGTATAAACAGAATCCCTCATTGACAGCATCTCTTAGTGAACTGCAAAAACAATACCAAGAACTGGTGCTCACAGAGCAGGACGTAGGGGAGCAGGACGGTTACTTTGGGGAGATCCTGGCACTTGTGGACTCTATGGTGGTAAAAATGCAACGGATGTAAAATGGGACTGCTGTCGTTTTAGAACTTTAAGAACTAATAAAATAATTGAATGTTGGATTTGTCTGGCTGTCTGGCAAGTGATGCACCATGCATTATGTTTGCAAAATTAGAGGGGTCAAGTGAAGAGTTCAGATGCAAAAGCCTCTAAGTGCCATTTTAAATTTTCTTCTAGAATGATCATTTTTATCAAGCTTGTATATTTAAGTTCAGTGATTTCACTTAAATGGCAATGATAAATACCTATTAATTGTTATTTAAGTGAAATTACTGAACTTAAATATACAAGTTTGATAAAAATCATCATTAAAGAAGAAAATTTCAAATGGCATTTAGAGGCTTTTGCATCTGAACTCTTCAAGTAGTTTAAAATAAGTGTTCACAAATAAAGACAAGGTAAACTACATTTTATACTGTATCTGTGATAATTTGATACATTTCTTTTTTAAATATATGGTGTAACCAAAGTAAAATCCATTTTCACACACACAAACACACACACTATATTTAACAGGTTTTATTTTCTTTGGACTTTTTTTCATCATTATAATAATATTCCGTAGAATCACCCTATTATTTTTTACTTATTTTTATTCATTTCAGGAAGAATATGGAAAGAAAATATGTACTCAATTATTTTTTTTATTGAATTTTTTTTATATAAATTAATTGGTCCAAACGAAAATTTACATCAGGTCATTGACCCAGTTAGTTGGCACTGAAAAAAAATTAAATGTGCTGCACTAAGTCTGTTGTTGTGATTTCAAGGATAGCAACACAAATCACATAAAGGAGGGAATAAAGAAAGAACTTTAGAGTTTGAATGTGGTTTATTCTAAACTATACTTTTGAATCATATTGTAATAAAATAGAGATCTTAAATGCTTCACTTTTTTATTGCATGGCATAACAAATCAATGTCTGAAAATGTTCCAAATTACAGTATATGACCTTATATGATAATGATTAATATTTGACAGAAAATCATGCTGGTTGTAGCTGTAGTATCTAAATGGAAAGCCATTGTGGATGCCAGCTGTAACTGCAGTGAAATCAGGGGGTTTCACATTTTCCTTCGTGCTTTACATTGACGACCTGTTGACGCAATCTAAACAGAAAAGATATGTGTTAGAAGAGGCACAAATACTGATAGAATTGCTATCAAGAATGTTTACTGTTTTGAAAGAAGACAGGTCTCTTGCTTTTTTTGTCAGATATTTTGTCCTCAAAATCGAAAAATTTCTGTTTTCTAAACCTTGGCAAGTGATTCAAATCTGATATCTGGGCCTAGCTTGAGATTTCTCACATCTGCTCTCTCAGCCTTATCAAAAAGTTGAATTTACATTGCATAAATGTTTTGATGACGTACTTGCTCTCCCAGTGTAGCATGCACTCATTGGAGTATGTGATACCATCGTCTCCACACACTGGCATATACTCACGAGTACACGAGTTGCTTTCCTGTTATGGAGATATTAGAGATAATCAAACCACACATCATAACACTTTACTACCACTGTACTTGATTACACACTAATGTTCAAAAGTTTAGTGTCAATAAGATTTTTTTAAATTTTCTAATTAAGTAAATACTTTAATTCAGCAAAGATGAATTAAATTGATCGAAAGTGACAAAAAGATTTCAAATAAATGCTGTTCTTTTGATATTTAATTTTTTTTTTTTTTATCAAATTTTCCACAAAAATATTAAGAAGTACAACCTTCAAAATTGATAATAATACTGAAGACTGAAGTGGCAGCTTTAGCATCACAGGAATTAAATATACAGAGGTGGATAAAGTAGGCTACACAACTTACACAATATTACTCCGTTACAAGTAAAAGTTGTATAAAAGAACGATTTTTACTTAAGTAAAAACACAGAAGTACTTGTTTTTAAAAGTACTTAAGTTTTAGAAGTAAAACGTAAATGTCACTGCATTATTTTATTATTGTTGCATAGTGCCCTAGTCTTTTGGCTTTCAGAATGAATATGTTAGCCTTACTGTTATCTAGTGTGCTCCAAAAAAAGAAACAAAATTCACATTTAGAAGACCAAACCCAACGTTGAAAATGAAAATCAGTTTGACGTCAGAACCAGACGTCAGATTGACATTAATCTCCAACATTGGACAAACATTGTATTGTGGGTGAAAATGAAAATCTGGTTGACGCCATAAACCAACAGAAGGAATGGATTAGGTTGAATAACGTTGAATGAATAATGCTGAATGTTGACGTCAATCTGACGTCTGGTGCTGCATGACATCAACCCGACTTTCAATGGTAGTGGAGTAAAAAGTATGGTATTTGTCATTCAAATGTAGTGACCAAAGTGAAAAGTTTCTAGAAAAAATAATTCTCAAGTGTACAGATACTCAAAAAAAGTACAATACTCAAGTAAGCTAAATGTACTTTGTTACTGTCCACCCTTGAAAATATATCAAAACAGAAAATTGTTATTTTAAAAAGTAGTAATATTTCCCAATTTTGCTCTTTTTACTGTATTTTTGATCAAATAAATGTACCATTGGTGAGCCATAAGAGACTTCTTTCAATATATATATTTACTATTTGGTAACTTTAAAATGTCACTTTAACTATAACTTACCTGTCCTGTTTGTTGTTCTGCCGCTGTAAAAACAGAATTAAAAGATATATTACGATTATGAGAAATGAAAGAGGAATGGCACTCAAAGTTGCTCAGCAAGTTTTGCTCTTTCTTTTCAACTGTTTTGTTTGAATAGCTTCTAGATGCTTCATGTGTGTGGTCATCTCTTTTCCCCATCTGTTATGATCTTTATCATTTCAACAAACAAGAATCAACATTTCAATCATTTCAACATCCTTCTGTGTTTTTTTGAGTGTATCTGCGTGGATTAAATGGAAATATATTCCAGCGATACTTCAGATCAGATTCAGGTCCGAGAATCTAAATGTATAACAACAACTCAACTTATATATTCTTTATACAGTTACAATTATGTTGTATCCGTCCACATGTTGCTGTTTCTGAAATGTTTCTGTTGTCAGATACACTACTGATCAAATATTCCTCAAGTAATGTTTACAATATTTGTCTTTCAAATGTAAAAGTTTCCAGAAAAAAATACTCAAGTACAGATACTCAAAAAGAACAGTAGCCTACTCAAGTAAATGTAACAACATTAGCCTGAGTATGGATTTGGTTTTTAAAGATAATTATACCACAAACAGTATTCACAGTTCAGTGTTTTTATGGAAAATTTAATACTCACCAGAGAGGCAAATGAGAACAGAAACGCAGATCAGGATAGCCAACTTCATGGTCACTGTTGTTGAGCACGTTGAGAGTGGGAAACTCAGCAGGTGTATCCTTGTAGCCAGGGCTCTAGCTGTAGTTATAGCTTTCGAAATGAACCAAACCCTCCCCCCCACTGTCTGTCTCTGCCTACCCAGAAAGAACCTGACTGGTGACATTCATGTGGGTCCACAAACAATGACTAAGGGCATTTGGGAGTAAGGTCATTTATTTGGGGTTTTGTAAAATTATTAGAAAAGCCTTGTCAACAAATTGCATCCTAAAGAAACTGTTCAATTATTAAACAGAAATAGCAAAGAGAGCCATGATTATAAGCATAAAACAACTCTTGTCCATGAGAGAAGCAGAGCTGGATAATCAGACGTCTAAATAAAGGATCATTTACAAACATGAAAGGTCATCTAACAAACAAAATGTTTGCTCTTCTCAAAATGTTTGTTGCAGAAAACGATGGCTGGTAAATTGTTTTTGTGGAAACTGTGAGACATGTATTTTGATAGGCTACACATTTCTTCGATGAAGAGAAAGTTCAAAAGAACAGCATTCCCAAATGTATAAGGCCATCTGCAAAATAAATCATTACTAGGCTACATATGAAGATTTGGAAAACAAGACATTTACCGAATATAATAATAATAATAATTCATCACATTTATATAGCGCCTTTCTGGACACTCAAAGCGCTTCACATAGAGGGCTTACACACCAGCTTACTGGTGGAGAGGAGACAGTGATGAATTGGTATATATGGGGATGATTAGGAGGCCATGATGGACAGAGGCCACTGGGCAAATTTGGCCAGGATGCCGGGGTTACACCCCTACTCTTTCGAAAGACATCCTGGGATTTTTAATTGACCACATAGAGTCAGGACCTCGGTTTAACGTCTCATCCGAATATGTTTCTTGAGAATCAAATCAGCCTTTTAGAATGATTTCTGAAGGACCATGTGACACTGTAGACTAGGCTGGAGTAATGATGCTGACAATTCAGCTTAGACATTAATACATTTTAAAATATATTCTAATAAAATAGTAAATTGTAATAATAATTCACAATGTCTGTTTTTCATCTTACTGTCTTGTTTTCAAAATCTGCATGGGATTCACAAATCTAGTCATAACTCTTTTGTTGTTGTTGTTGTTGATGGCTATCAATTTAGAGAAGCTTTTGTTTACTCAATGCTTTTTTATAGCGAGTCATGAAGGTTTGATAAGTAGTCTAAATGATAGCCTAATTATTATGTTGTCCAACTTGTCTTGAAACCTTCAATCAGGAGATAATAATTCATCAGTTTGATGAGTAGTCAAACAGAACTAAAACTATAATTAAGAAGAGGGTCGTGTGCACTGCAGTAACTTAATTGAGAGAAACCATTAAAGGCGTAGGCTAGTTTATCCAAAATCATACTCCCTCTCATGTTGTTCCAAACCTTTATGACTTGAAAAGATGTTTAGCAGAATTTTAAGAATGGTTGGTCAAGTTCCATTATTTTAACGTCATCTCTTTTTTCATAACTTAAAAACGAACCGTGACTGAGTTGCTCTGCCTGAAGAAAGAAAGTCGTACAGGGTTGGAAATTCATGAGGGTGAACACCATAGACAGTATAGGTGAGCAGCACACGACGATGATGTACTGGCATATCTCATTAAATCTCACTAGGTGGCATCAGTGAACTTTGAAGCGCAGGTCATGAACGAGAGTTGGCGCACAATCAGTCATCGCGAGACGTGTAAATATTGATCATGTGTGAACTATTTTCTGCCAACGACACAAATATACAATAAATACCCTATACTTTCTTCTAATAAGATGCTTAAGTAGAAATAAATATATGAATATTTAAATAGTATATTGTTATTGTCAGACCAAATGTTGTATCAATTTCTCTTTTATAATTATTGATTATATATATATATATATATATATATATATATATAAAGCAGTTCGCTTAATTTAAAAGAACATACGTAGAGCACTGAGTTTACAATAAACATCCCCAAATTCTCCTGCGCGCTCTCGTGTTTCTCACCGCGCATTCCCGCAGCCTCGCTGACATCACGCGTGAACCCCTCCCCTGCCCGCGGCTGCGCGCTTTAGCGCGGTCTCGCTTCTCTCCTCAGATCAGCAGAATCTGTTCATCCCGAGACGGACAAGATGGCGAAGTGAGTGGGTTGCGCTTTGAAGAGAAAGCAGCGACTCACACAATTTCTTCAAGATTAAAACGTCGTTTGCTTTGACGTACGTTTGAATAAGCGGGAAAGCGCTTATTTAAGAAGAAAACTCGCCCCTCACAGCGAGGTGATTCGAAGAGAGCGTCGAGGACATCGACTCCTCCGTGTCCTTTCAGGCTAAGCTGCTAGTCAGCTATTCGGGGAATTGCTCAAGAGAAAAAAAACATCCTCAGCCTCAGGGGAAATAGCCTTGTTTTTTACTTAAATGTCGAGGCAGCAAAACTCCTATTGAAACCAATGTCCGTAATCATCTCCTTTTCGGTGTTGTGAGTTAAGGACACAGCTAGTGAGACCCGTTTTAGGCGAGCTAGCATTGTTTCTACTGGATTGAAGAAGACTGAAAACCTCACCCGTTCACACAGTTTCAGAGTAACTCTCGGATTTTAGGACATGGCCAGCAGCAGTGGCTCTAAAGCCGAGTTTATAGTCGGTGGAAAATACAAGCTCGTTCGTAAAATCGGATCCGGATCCTTCGGTGACATTTATTTGGCAATCAACATCACAAATGGCGAGGTAAAGATGAAATGGATGTTAATTCATGTGCTGAAATGACTGGGATAAGAAGATTGAGGGGTTTATACATATGTCCAGCTCATCACATCTGATTACCTGGACACTTCATATGACCTCCAAAAAATATAGTATTGAAAGATTACAATATTTTTTATGACTTTTTACTATTTGTGGGAAGTCAATCAACGATGTATAATTGTGGTTTCCCAGAACAAGTCATAAAAGATCATACTGCTCTCAAATACGTTACTTAACCAAATCCTAGTGCTTTGTAAAACATCTCTAGATAAATATAACTATTAGCAGACAAATAATATAACTTAATTTTGAATATTTTCAGGAGGTAGCTGTGAAATTGGAATCGCAGAAAGCCAGACACCCTCAACTCCTATATGAAAGCAAGTTGTACAAAATTCTCCAGGGAGGAGTCGGGATCCCACACATCAGGTGAGCACAGATGTCTCATACGTTAAAGTAGTATCAGTTTTAATTAGATGGGGTAACTTAACTGGACTAGTTTTATCAGGTTTAAAGACTAGCATGAGATCGAAAGTAACGGGTCGAGTACAAAGTAACTTACACATCCATCTACGTATGACATCTAACGTTACCTTTACGCATAATACTTTCCTTATTAAATTATCTAATTCTGTACAACATACTTTCTCTGTCTTTTTTTTTTCACTTACGATAGTGTGGACATGCTAACTGGCCCGGTCATTAGCACTAGCCTTTCAATGAAAACTGTGGTGAAATGTGCCGTTATAAACATTGTGTTTTGTATAATGTGAAATATTATAGTGTAATGAATGAGATTTGATCGCGAAGTGTGTGTTTGTGCGTTGCTGAGTAATGAGTAATGAGCGAGTGGGAAATGGCCGCTGCTCTTTTGTTGTGTTTGTTCAACATGTCCTCCCTCGATCAGAAAATGGCGGATGAGGGAAAACAAGTTTCAGGGCCTAGTGCGACTGCTACTCTCTTCTCAAGGTGACTGAGCCAAACGAGCGCTGATATGAGTTTTAGTACACATTTATAATTGTATAAAAGAGCTTATATTTGATATGAGGTTTTCAATAACTGATGATAGATGGATATTTGAATAAAGCATAGTGACTGTTTGTTTCACACGAAATGGGTAGAAGTTGTCACGTATTCTTCTGACACGTTTTCTGATTTGGGTGTTATGGTTGACTGTAAATCACTTTCAGAGGAGTGCAGAATTCCCCTACAGGTTAAAGTTCCTTGGTGGTTGAGTTTGTGTAATTATTTCCCTTAGCTGTTTCCTTGTGCATTTATGTTGGGCTTTTATAATGTCTTAGTGTTGTCATATATCAAATGTTAACCCTTATCCTGGGACATTTTGTGAGGGTGAGGGATTAGTGGGCCTTATCTTTCATAAATCTACTCTGATCTAATAATTACATAAAAAGTAAATCTTTTTTGTCTAAAAGTAACATGGTCGTTTGCTGTAAGGTGGTTATCAACTCTAAAGTAGATATTGAGATGCTAGATGGCTCTTTCATTGAAGATAGGCTACAAAGATTAAAATAAAAACAATGTGTTAGTTATTTTAATGTTAATTACCATGGCTGGCACCTAGACAGGTCTGTGTGTTAAGCCCTATCAGGACGGCACTAGTTTAACATGGAGAGGTGGGGTAAAGTAATTATCACCAGAGCTTCTCAGTGATTTTTAGTCCAGTCCGAATGTGCCATCTAATGTCCCGTCCACACTACTGCGTTTTCGTTTAAAAACGGAGAATTAAAATGAGTAACGTTACTATATCTGTCCACACCAGCGTTTTTTTTCTGTGTATTAGAATTGATCTCCGTCCATATTAAAACGACTGAAAACGTGGATCACGTGACCATTCACCAACACTGGGTATGCGCCTGCCGATGTAAACAGTGGCTGACGAATCAGGGAAGGACACGTCATGGCTGATGACACCCAATCATAGAGCCAAGCGTCGGCCTTTGCGTCATCATTTCTAAACTCCTCCGTTTTGTTCCGTCTTCACTGAAACGCCCTCCGGAGATGCAAAACGGAGCTGCAGCGTTTCTAAACTTCTCCGTTTTAGGTCTTCGTTTTTTCTTTTTCAGTCTGGACGGGAGGTGCAAAACATAGCAAAAGGTCTTCGTTTTTAAATGAAAACGCAGTAGTGTAGACGGGGCCTAGGGGTCTGTTTACACCTGGGCACTTCATGCGTTTTCTGTGATCGGATAGATATCAGATTGTGAAAAGACCAGTTGTAAATGCCCTCGAAACGCATTCGAGACTGATTTGAATCCGATTGCTCAAACCACTTCAGAAGGTG